TATATATATATATATATATATATACCGTATATATATATACATATATGCGTATGTGTGTGTATTATATATAGATATAGAATATTATATATGCGTTATTTCTGACATTTCTCATATGTGTATTATATGGTTTATAAGACGTATATACTATCTGTCATCGCGGTGACAGGTTGTGTTCACTGACAACGTTAAATAAAAATAACAATAGCGTGCGCGTAGCGCGCGCCTGTGTTGTGCTAGTTAATTATAAATATTGGGTTTGGTGGAAAAGTTCTACGGATTTTTTAATAGATGACACTAGTGTCAGAAAATAATTATCGCGTGTCGTTCAAATGTCAGTCTGCCGCACATATTTTGACAAGTCAAACTACGCTTGACATTTGGCAGAAGTGTTTGTTTTGGTCGGACGTGTTTTGCGTGTACGGCATACAACTATTGTAAAATAGAAGATCAAAAATTGCATTTTCGCCATATTTTGCTGTTTTTATTCCGTAAAGGATATAAAGCGACGGACTCTAAGCGCGAAATATGCGCCATGTATGGTGCCTCGGTCTTAAGCGCAGACACATGCGAAAGATGGTTTGCTCGCTTCCGTTCCGAAGAATTTAACTTCCAAGATGCACCACGCTCTGGACGGCCAAATTCTGTTGACGACGACCAACTCCTGGCCACAGGAGAAGAGTGATCGACACTTAACGACTCGAGAGATTGCGAAGCGCTTCGGCATTCATCATACAACCGTTGTGGATCGATTAAAAAAGCTTGGCATGGTGAAAAAGCTTGATGTATGGGTGCCGCACGAACTGAGCGAAAAGAACATCATGGATCGGATTTTAGTGTGTGAATCTCTTCTGAAACAAAACTCTCTAGACCGATTTCTGAAACGGATCATCATTGGAGACGAGAAATGGATTGTCTACAACAACATTAAGCGGCGGAAGTTGCGGTGCGTTCCGGGCGAGTCTTCACAAACGGTGGCAAAACCTAATTTGCATCCACAGAAAGTAGTAATGCTATGTATTTGGTGGGACTATAAAGGAGTGCTGTGGTTCGAACTGCTCCCGCAGGGCCAAACAATAGATTCGAAGAAATACTGCGCTCAGCTCGACAAATTGCGCAAGGTAGTGCAAGAGAAGCGGCCAGAATTGTCGAATAGAAAAGGTGTGATTTTCCATCGTGACAACGCTCGACCACATACTTCTTTGATCACGAAAACAAAATTGCAGAGCTTTGGTTGGGAAATGACGCAGCACCCACCATATTCGCCGGACCTTGCACCGTCTGATTATCACTTGTTTCGCTCGCTGCAAAACAATATTGACGGTCATCAATTCGACTCAGTGAAAGCCATCCGAAATCATCTCGTTGATTTTTTCGCCCACAAGTCCCAAGGGTTTTACGAGAGCGGCATCAAGGTCCTACCGAAACGTTGGCAACAAGTTGTAGATCAAGACGGTCAACACATTGTGGACTAAATTAATTTTTATAAGTGTCGATTTTGTGTTTAAATTTTGTACTAAAAATCCGCAGAACTTTTCCACCAACCCAATATATTATAAATAAAAAATAAATTAGGATTAATTATAAAATAGTAATAATAATAATAATTATTATATATATATATATATATATATATATAT